GTTTATTCTACCAACGTAAACTATGTTAAAGCTGTGTGCTCAGCCTTTTCCTCAATGACACCATGTTTAAAATGTAGAAAACTGGAGAGCCCTTGTGTGAAGTTAGACACAAACTCCGACTCTGAAATACAAATAAACAATAACGACCCATCTTTAAACAAACACAACCGGTTGACTGTGACAGCTCGCTGCCCATTTAACTAAACACAATGCTGCTGAAGCCACCAGCTCACCCAGCTAGCTTCAGCTAACTGTTAGCAAGCTGAGCCGCTTCTCTTTGAGCATGCGCAAACCACATTTATCAACGTTTTCAGCAACAAAAGCCTAAAAAGACACAAACACTTGCCTCAGAAAGCTTTCTGGATGTGCTGTGTTGGCGTTTATAGTCTGAACACACTCCTCCAGCACGCTCCACACGTCTCCACTGGCCATCGTTACCCCCACATGTGTAGCTGGCGGTGTCGCAGGTAAACAGGCTCTCCGAGAAACTCTTCCGCTGCTTGTGTTTGGTTCCGAGACACAAACATGGCGTCCGCGGTGCTGAAGGTTGCAGGTTGGTTTGTGTCAATAATGATCCAACTAACAAACACATGCTTTTCTGTTCACATGTCATCCTCAACTTCTGATTTCTTGTTGAACATTAGCTGTATGACACTAACTCACCGTCTAGTTAAAGCATATGTTAACGTTACATCAGCGTTTGAGTACATGGTACTTTTTGTGTTTTGTGTCAATAAAAAGTGACTGTATTTCGTTTATCTGAAGGCATGCATAGATAGTTTGAATGAATACAGTTTAATCTGATTTTCCGATTTGAAACGAGACTCTAAAACATAAATTTTTCAGTTTGTACTTTCCTAATGGAGCATTTGATCCGTGTATGTGTGTCGTTGAACGAATGCTATGCAGACAAACATTGTTCAAACCCAAAGACCTTTATTTTGAAGGATAGCTGAGATTCAAACGTTGGGGAAATGCGTGTATAATGATGCACAATATACCTAAAATATTTACTTAACATGTTTTCTGTTCACTGTAAACAGCTGGAACAAGCTGGTGCAGAACATACTGCATAGTAATCCTCAAATAAAGTTACTTTTCCAACCTTGTAGCTACTTGAATAGAAACAAGGGAGAAAACTGTATGTTAAAGCTCTAGTTTGAACTAATCTCACTGTATTTGAATCTGTTTATTCAGTGGCAGGTCTTTCCAGATGTTCTCGTATCGCACTCATGAGGGCACATTCAACCACAGCATCCCTCCATCAGGGCGTTCCTGGGTCGCTGTGGAAGCTGGGGAGGCTGAACCACATTGCCATTGCCGTCCCTGACATGGAGAAGGCCACGGCTCTGTATCGGGACGTGCTGGGGGCCACAGTGAGCGACAAGGTGCCCCTGCCCGAGCACGGCGTCTACACAGTGTTTGTGGAGCTTGGCAACACTAAGCTGGAGCTGCTCCATCCTCTGGGGGAGAAGAGCCCTATCGCCGGCTTCTTACAGAAGAACAAGTCTGGAGGGATGCACCACATTTGTATTGAGGTGAGACTGACAGGGATTACACTCACCCTAACGCTCAGATAAGCCTGAGAAGAAACATTGTTATTTGTCATAGCAGTTGTGTAAGTGAGCCAGCATGCACAACAGGCTGCAGTTCACAGAAGACATTTTCATTTGTCCTACTTGGAAAAGCCAGCATGCACAATACCAGGTGTGCAAGATTCTTCCGCTGTCTTTTCAAGTCAGGAGTTGTTTTATCCTAAGCAACTGTCAACAAGACTTTGTGGTGTGCGAGAACTTTAACATTTCGGAATGTCTCTTGTGAACAAGTTCGACATCAAGCCCCGCTGGCACTGACACACCTGAGTGGAATGTATTATTCATACATTATTAGAGACTTCTGTGTTTTATGAGTCAGAATCTGCTATGAGAATTGTCTAATAAAGTGTTTCTCAAACGTTTTTCATTAATAGGTACAATACAGTGCTGCACCATCAGTGTCTGATTTATTAAAAAAAACACTTTTTTTAAATGTTTAGAATCCATCACTACATCACTTTGTTGTCATGCAATAACACATAACATACATAACACATAACAGACAGCATGGTAGTTGCATTGAACTGCGACAAGTGCAAGTGCAGACGACAGTTAAGCATTAAAAATAGGAATATTTAATATAAAATTTGGTTTATCAAACACACATTTTTTAATTAAACTTATAGTATAATTAATTTAGGAATTATACATGCCTAATATTTCTTGAATTAACATTTTTTTAGATGTCAGGCACTGAAGTATTGAAGTACTCCAAAGTACCCCTAGGGGTAGACGTACCCCCATTTGATAAACACTGGTCTAACGTTATAGTTTATTTTATAGTTTAGTATATTTAATAAATTGCAAGATTCCAATTTATCCCAAAGGTGCTCTTACAGACTAAAGTCTGGAGACTTTGCGGTTTTAAACTTCCAGCTTTTACCTTTTAGTAGAAGAACAGAAGTAGAAACAAACGTGTTTGGTGCAGTTTAAGGGAATATTGGTGCATTTGGTTCCCTTCTTGTTAGGGTTCCTAAACCACAATTATTTATTAAACTGATAAATCACTGATGATTTACAGATCGACCAATAAGTAACAAACAATGATGAGAAAACAAATGTATGCAATAGTCAACCAATAGTAGGAACAATATTGTCCACCAGAGAGCACTGACAGTTTTATGTGTGAACTGTGAAATGTACAACTTATTATATGGTTTTATGTGTTTCTGTCAGAAAACAAATCAGTCTCTAATTTAAAATTATGGCAATAAAGCCACTTAAAACCAAACATGTTGTGCATAAGTCTTAAGTGTTATTTGAGACTGCACTTGTGTTTGGTATTGAAAGGGACAGCTCAGTGTGCAGTGGTGTGTTTATTTGTATAACGAGTTCCACATTTTAAACCTAAGTTTAAAGTCCTCAGCCCTTTGTAACACTTTAATGCAGCAAATAAATCACGTTTTTACACTTTACTGTGCATTTAAAGATCATCAGTATGAATGGAGTATAAATCAGATGAACCAAATTCAGATGAATAATTAAGTTTTCCTCTTGGTTGCAGGTAGATGACATTAACGCTGCAATAGTCGACCTGAAAACGAAGAACATCAGAACTCTGTCAGCAGAGCCTCGAATAGGTGCTCACGGGAAACCAGTGATGTTTCTCCACCCTAAAGACTGTGACGGTGTGCTGGTGGAGCTTGAGGAAGCGTGAACAGCTCAGTCAAAGACAAAGATTGTGGGAGCCGTTAATTCACATTTATATATTCCACAGTCAATGTGATGATCACTGGGATAACAAAGGTTGATTTTGTAATATTAGTACTTAGGTTTTGATCCTGTCATTTCAGAAAGGTGCCTCAAAGTTGTTCTTCCAGGTCTGTTTCAGTTCTGTTCTTTACTATCCTGCTTTGTTTGGAATAAATTAAGGTGTGACGTGTATATTTACAGATATTATATTATACATGATCTACAACTCGGGCAGTTTTCATTTCACTACATTGATGCAGATTCCAAAATGAAAAGGGCTGAACTGAATTACACAACGACATTTTCTTATTTTAATCATGCAGTTGTAACTTGTATAGGTCAAGTTTTCAAATAGGATGGCACACTTTTTTCAACAAAGGTATAAAAAAATAAAATATTAGACACTTTTTTTAGGTGAAACCTGAGTAGGAAACAGTAAAATTGGCCAGAAAACTTAAATCATCCGTGTGTGATACAGATGACATTCACTTAATGTTTTCCTTGGTATGCACACTGTTTATAAAAACAATTTTTTTCCTGTATTGAAGTAGATTCTTAATGGCGTATCACTTAAAAGCATGTCAAAATACACTTAATATTTTTATTGTTATTGGCAGTCACAACTAGAGGGAGTGACAACCGTCGGTACCAATAATCTGTATCCATGACAGAAATGTGTGATTACAAAAGGAGAGGAACTCGGTGACGCAGGTAGTCTCGAACTTCAGGAAATCCCCTGATCACTAATTTTATATATATATATATTTATAAAAACATACTTCCTCCTTTGGAAGCATCGATTGAAGCAGATCGAAACAGTCTATGGAATATTTTGCAAAAGAGACTGTTGGCAATTTGCAAATGCCTTAAGTCATGAAGGGCAGATGATCATAATTAGTTTCACAACAAGCTGCTGGAGTATATTTTCTAGAGACCGCAGGCTCTGAGGCAAACAGTAATTATGTGCTGTACATACAGTTTTAAACATTGTGATTATTTTCTTGACGACCAGTCTTCGGAGTCTTCAAATACCAAAAGGTTGTCCTTTTGTACAATAGCCAGATCTCTAAAACACCATTTGGGAAAATATAAAAACTGACCCTATAATAGAGACTTTATTATTGGGACATCAGGTGCTTGCCTAGTTCCGTTTTCTCTTGTAATTGTAAATGGAAGTGAAACAAATTATGAATACTATAATAAGTGGGGGAGTTCTGCAGTTTTTCAGAGGTGAAACTCAGTTTAAACCATTTCAACATTCTTCTGTTTTTAATATTAGACAACATTAAAAAAAAAAAAAATGAGACTAATCAGAATCCAGAGGGTTCGTTTTATTTGTTTGGATTAACAGTTCTTGGCATAAAACGCAGCAGATACATAGTTATGATATAGGCATCGACAACAGCGAGAGAGGGGCAAAGTAGCTCACAGCTCGGAGAACAGGGATTACAGAAGTAACTAATGTGGAGGAAATGGCAATAATGACCTACATGAGTAATATGAGAGATTTAAGTGACTAGCCAGTATCATGCACATGGCTGCATATTTTGAAAACAAGATACAAATATACACATATAGAAAGCTTTTGTAAATGTGATCTGGAGGGATTTAGCTGCTTTCTTTGCCCAGGGTGTGTTTGTCAAACAGGTACTCGGCCATGCCATTCTGAGGAGCCCCCATGCGGCGCAGGTTGGTCACCCAGTCTGCCAGTTCTTTGATGGACTTCACCTGCTCGTCCAGGTAGTGTGTCTCAATGAAATCGCACAACTGAAAGAAAGAGAGTTTCAATCGGATTAGGAGCCGAAACACTCAGTGAATTTTACGGTTGTCCAAAACTAAAATGTGACATGAAAGGAAAAAAATGTTTAAGTGCCTCGCTGTGCAACCGTCAAGCCCTGATTTAATACTCACATGTGGGTCATTGTGATCAGCGCAGAGCTTGTGCATGTCCAGCAGGGACTGGTTGACGCTCTTCTCGAGCTGCAGGGCGCATTCGAGGGCCTCGATGCCACTGCCCCAGTCGTCCCTCTCTGGCTTCTGCAATACAAAGCAGGTCAGGAAAACAGTGAGACGCCTACTAAATGAGGAGGCCAACGACAGGCTGCAGTTTAACGTTTAACTCAGACGTTAAAAGGGTTGTGTTTGTGTGTCAGTGAAAGATAAGCAGCACACCCACGCCCTCTGTATCTATACGTCCTTATGTTGCCCTCGCGAACGCGGGACGTACGACAGCCCAGAACAAGAAACCTCACACCCAAGGCACGAGTTAAAAACACACACAAAATTAAAATAAAACAAATGTGTAGGATCAAAAATGAGCTCGTACCCTGATATCCTGTAGGAAGATCCTTCCCCCCCTCTGGTTCTGAACTTTCATCAGCTTCTCGGCATGCTCGCGCTCCTCCTGTGACTGATTACGGAAGAACTTGGCAAAGTTGTGCAATGCCTGGTCATCCCGGTCAAAGTAGTATGCCTGCGAGGGGGAAAGAGGGGAATCGTGGTGTTTTCAAAATCATCCATTTCCTTCAGGTGAAGCAAAAAAGTCCTGAAATGTGTCCTAGCTGTTTGTTTTTATAACAGTGCTGCTGATTAAAAACATTTCAACCCCTAGAGGTATGGCAAATCAAATAAGAACTTCCTAAATCATCTAAACTAAACAAAACATTTATATTCATGCAATATAAATCTGGTGAATCTGCTATGAAATACAGCAAAAAGTAGTTTTAATGTAACACAGGTAAGACGTTTTACACAGCTGTGTGTGGGATCAATAGGTGACCGCGGTGCTTTGAGGGCAGCCGACGCACTCTCTGCCCTCTCCCTGCACTTTATCTCAAAAGGGAACTTCAACCTTTGTTTTAGGACTTGGACATTCATTTCACCTCGGTTCACACACAATATCAAACGGACACCTAAAAAATTGAGGATACACGGTGCGTAAGCCCACTCAGCCCGGTTACATAACAACAACAACAAAACTGTCTATTTGAGGTCACTTCTCGATAATAACGGGTATCAGCGTAATTGTTCCCCTTTACGCCGACATGTTCCACCTTTACCATCGTCAGCTCTTCCTCCCTGGCTTTTTTCCCGCTCATCTCTACTCACTCAACTGGTTTTCTATCGCTTGAACACTTTTCTCTATCCACCGATCGGACTCTCACCATAGACAGGTAGACGTAGGAGGCATACAGCTCCAGGTTGATCTGCCTGTTGATTGCAGCCTCGCAGTCCTGGTGGAAGTTCTGTCTCACCTGAGAACTCATCGTTCTGAAACGCAACAAACGACAAGTCAAGAATATTATACAACATGTGTGTGTGTAACATAAGACATTGTTATAAGTCCATGCAGCATAAATCACAATTTGAGCTGACACAGTTAGTTTATTGCTCAATTATTCAACCAACCGATGACAATCAGTTAATTATTAAAGTTGTTTATCAAGCTGAGTGTGTGTGGTTCACGCTTCCTTCTGTTTAACGTCACAGTAAATCAAATATTGGTTACTGGTCAGAGAAAACAAGAACTCCTGAGACATTACTAATTAATGTGTGATATAAAGTAGCAACTAAACAATCAAGAAATTAAGTGACAAACTAGATCATTTTAAATTGATTATGGATTTTATAGAGGATGTCTTATCCATTTACTCTGGACATCATAACAAAGTCTTCAGTGTGAAAATGATTTTTACTTCAAATGCAAAAAAAAAAAAAAAAAAAAAGGTAAAAATGTGGCTAAATAACTAATAATACTAACATTACAATAACTACATTGCCGAGTGAAGCAATATGATATGACTGTATCCTAATCGATGGGCCCTTCCCTTCAATAAAAGCAAGTCATCACACACAACACAGCAGACATAATGTTACCAGGTTTCACGGTCACATGTAACTTAAGTTAATTGTTAATAACATAACCTTGGCAGAGAAGTAAAAGCTATCAAACGCCAGAAAACAACATAACCTGAACAGCAACACACTTTGAGCTACAGAGGCGTCGAAAGCCGCACTGAAATACAGATTAGAGATGGTTTAAACTCTGGAAGATATACAGTTAGGTAAATAAAGTAGTGCTGTGTTGTTGTGTGGCACACCTGGCAGTGAAGAGATTAATGCGCCAAGGCCACTAAAGGGGGGGTCAATGAGATAAACAACCGCACCAGCGCCAACGATACTAACGATATACTCTGCGTAGGTATGTCAGCGACCACTAAACACACACATAAGAGAGATAAGAAGAAAACTCAGTACTCTTACCTTATTTCAGCGGCGGCTCTTCTTGTTAGGAGGTCGAAAAACAAGCTGTCCCGAGTGGATGGCGCTGTTAGCTGGCGGGCTAAACGTGTGCGAGATAACTCAGCTTAACGGATGTTGTTTTTGTTTTGTTTTGTTGTTTAAGATAATTATGTTGTCGATTTTGTTGAAAGCGATCAAAGGTAATCGTCCTCGTCCTGTTTGAAGACAGATGAGAGGTTGCCGTTCAAGCACTGTTGAAGCAGGTAACCTTCACTGTCCGCTAACGGCAGAACCAACTGTGGGCCAACGGCTCGAACGTCGACGGATACGGCAGATGGTATGGCCCGTTGCGTCACTGACCGGAAGAGGGCGGGGCCAGTGTTTATGGTCCGTGAGGTCATCATACTCGGGGTCTACTAAGGTTTTTTTTTTTTTCCGCAGTGGTGTAAAGTAACTAAGTACATTTACTCAGGTACAGTCTTGTGATAATTGTGTACATGAGTATTTCTGTATATATATATCTGCTTTAACACATTCCTCCGTTTTTTAAAATATTCGATTCATCTGGCAGCTAAACTTAATACTTATTTGTCTTATAAATATCATTCAAACCATCTGATTGGTGAATGATATATAATAGATTATAGATGTCACTATCCAACAGTGTATAAAGCAGTTAAACTTAGTCCGCCTCGATCAGCTTTACGTTAATAGGTTTACTGTACACTTTAAGTTATATGTTATATTTTATATTTTAACTTTATTCTATTCTTCTATTTGTGTTGTGTGTTTGTCTTATTATTGTACTGTTGTGTAAAGGGAGTCGGACAAAGTTTTCATTTTATGTACAAACCACTGTGTTTCTTACTGTGCATATGACAATAAACCTCTTGAATCTTGAATCTTGAATAAAATAATCCAATAATGCAAATTACCACAGCCTTTCAGTACTTTTACTTTTGATTCTGTATGTACATTTTGCTGATAAGTAAGTAAAACACTTTTATGTTTGCATCGTGGTATAAGGGGGATTTATCATTACATTTTCTAATGAGCCTAAAAAAATATGAGTAATGGACTGAAGTTTAATAAATGAAACATCTGTGGTTTCACACAAAATACAGCTGTGTATCTACAATCTGAATCCCCCCCAGACAGAATAATGTGGTGCCCCTATCCCATGATGGTGAATGGGTAAACTAGCTCAATTGTTTTGGCAGGATAGGTTTATTTATATAACTTAAAATCAGAAGATCATAAGACCAATAATCTCTACAGTGGACAATACCCTTTGTCCTCCATTTAACTCAAAAAATCCAAAACACTGACATAGAGCTATCGTCTACTGATTCAGCTGTTTTTTACTGGCATTACAAAACTTGAAAACTTGTGTATTAAGTAACAAACTAGTCACACACCAGGACATGACTAATTGGCTTATTGAGACATACTGTATTAGTTGGCAATCATAGTCATAGGTCATAGGTCATAGGTCACCACACAGAACAGCTCTAATGCATTTGAACAAGACAGGGAGGTGGAGGGACAAAGTAAGGTTAGGTTAATAAAAAAAAAGAAATAATTGTGTAATTGTGTCACCCCCAAGACCCATTTATTAGATGTATTAGCTGTTCCATTTGGGGCCATAGTTGTACTAACCATTGGTAGCTTAGAAGCATGGATTTGTAGGTATTGTGTCCATTAAAAAGTGCTGTCCTAACAACAAAACAACCATACCTCAGATCTGTGTATTAGACCATTTTCTCATAGGGTAATGATCAGTCGTCCTCTATCTGTATTGTGATGTTGTAAATAATAATCATCAGTTACAGTGGAGTGGCACTCAGAATAAAACACACTGCTCATGGACTATGGTTGAAAATGTCGTTAGAGGTTGCCATGGCAATCAAAGCAATGTCTGCACATGGTGTTTGAGGGGGAAGTGGTAATAACGAATTCACTATTGAAATAAGTTGCCTGTGTTATTCATTGGTTTTGACGTTGACTGTGAATTTGAACATTTGATTAGTTGAACGGCTCTTTTGTAATAAGCTATAATGTTTGTTTCCCCCCTCCCCTTTACTCTACTACATTTATTTGATAACTTTAGTGACTGGTTATTTCGCAGATTCAGATTATTGACACTAAATAGAATCAATAAGTAAATTATGATAATAGGTTACAATGCAACTTTGTTGGCCCCTGGGGGTATAATTCATAAACTACCAAGAATTAGATAGACTTTATTAGACTTTATTTATCCCCGAAGGGAAATTGGGTAATTATATTGGGTATTATATAAAGTAATTAAAATTAGCCACCCCATTACCAGCTTCCACATTAAAGTGATGGTTACACATTAATGTATCAATAATTATAATCCAATAGTGTATCAATTATAACCCTGTAAATAATAGGCTTATAATACAAATTACTCCGAAATAGGCCATTCTGTATGACTTATTCAACTGTCCTGTTCCACTGAAAGACTGAGGAGATCGTTCCTCCCCCACGCCATGAGGCTCTTCAACTCCACCCAGGG